GACGAGCTCGAGGCGGTCCAGCGGATCCGTCGACTTGTTCTATGCCTTGTACTTGTCTTTGACCACGTAAAGGCCGTGCGCGAGGACGTACGTGCGGGCCACGAGTGGCAGCAGTGCCTGCTTTTGCAGGCCATAGTGCAGGATGGCCGTGTCCGACTTGCCCTTAGGACCGACCGTCGCGCGACTCGCCGGATATCTAGGCATCACACCCTTGACATTAGGAGATGAATAGGCGACGAAGGAGTAGTACCGCATCGCAATCGCCAGCGACAACTTGGTGCCGCCCATGAACATGGAGGCAATGCACACGCGGCCACTGAGTAATTGATCTGCACAACCAACACAAGCATCATGAGCATATGACGATATATCTGTGTTTCGAAGGTCAACCTGCGACGGCCAAGAAACGGCCGCGTTTGCTGGACACGTGGCTCGTGAATGTTCCGTCACCGCTGACTTGGGAGAGCGCGTCGAGCATGTTGGTGCGGGGAATGCGGACGTTGTCAAAGAGAATTTTCCTGTCCACACAATAACTAAAAGAGATGCCATGAATTCACGAGTCATATCAGGCGGTGGAGGATGGACGGACGGATCAGTACCCATTGTCGACGCCGTTGCAGCCCATCTTGTGGCCCATTGTCCATCATTATGTCGAATACTTTGACACGTCGTTGTCATGTGTGAATTGCATTGTCATGCACGAATTGTCCAACACTCCAATCTGTCATTACTTCAAAACTTCATACATTTCTAAAACTAATATACCTTTATCATATCATATTTTCAGCGAAAGATTTTGGATTTTGTTAAACTGAATTCAATACTCACTTCAAGTATATATTTTGGCGGATCACTGATCGACTGTGCAAATTGCTCAACTTTCTAAATTAATTGGAGAAACATGAACTCTCAGATCCGATCGGTTTTGAATCCTTGTGAAAGCACTTGAAATTGGCTATCAGAATGTGTGTCCATCTTTGTTCTAGCACAAATAGCCGCTGAGTAATTCAAGAAGGAAAAAATCCAAATTTTGGCGGATCACTGATCGGTCACGTATATCTAAAAATAGACATCCGGATAATGTGTAGAACGCGCTGGGGCTCGCGCTAAGAAGTGCCGTGTTACGAAGCCACGGCGGCCGTGCTGGGCGACGGATGGACCTGTGGCAAGTTCGCCGGGGACATCACGTCCTCCACCCCCACTTTGTCGTCGTTGCCTCCCATCGACTC